TGATGATTCAGTGACTTGATGAAGCCACGATAAAGAATTTTATATAAGCGGCGGAATTTTATACAGATAGTTAGCGGAATCCTCTTCTTACAGCCTTAAGAAGATTCCTTCTAAAACCAAAAGGAAAATATTCTAAGCACAATATTATTCCTCTTTATTAGTGAAGGAATATTCTTTTGGTAAAAGTTTTCACTCTTAGAATATGAGATTACAGGAAATAGCATCTTACAACATCTATTTTCATTGTTGGAATATTTTCCTTTTGGTTTGAGGATTTCTTGAATGTAAGATAGCCCAAAAGATATGTAATATCAGCTTCATTTTTAGCAAGAGTAACATAAAACGAAGTTTACAGAGCTTTTCCCACAAAATTACATGGAAGAATGCGAGATAAAAGGTGAAGTAAAAGTAAAAGTAGAGTTAAAGGTGAATGGGTTCCAATGGGGCGATCGTTGGATCGCCAAAATTATTCTCATCTCCGGTCATTGAGAAATCGCGAGAATTCCCGTCCGATCCATTTCCATCTGCAAACGTGAAATATGCGAGCGGTAAAAGACACGGGGTCGGGCACGCCGGGGTTAATGCCTATCGATTACCGAGGCGGCTTGCGCTATCTCGCCCGTATGGGCGGACGGTGCATATCGTTCCCGCGAGGCTATATGCTCGCATGTGCACCGTGTCCACGTATACGGAGGACCACCGGGGCTCCGTATGAAGTTATTATCTTCGGCTTGGTCCGCACGACGACGTACGCACACATGCACGCAGTATCCACGCATGCATGCCTGTGCGTCCCATGCGAAGCGTGTCGATCCCCTTTCTCCTCCTGCCGCTCGCAACAAGCGTTCTTCGCTCGACGAGGAGGAGGAAAGGTGAGGGGGAGGCGTGGGCAGCCCTTAAAGTCACGTACTAGACCAGCCGCGATTGCTAAGTATTAATATCTTATTACGGGATTATCGACGTGGGGTTTCGCGCGAGGGCGATCGGCGCGAGCACAGGAATCCGTAGAAAGACTTCGTACGACATGCAGATTCCCTGACGGACATTGGCTTTCCGCGTGGGCTCGCGCGGTATATTAGCATCGAGTGAGAGCCTGAACGTCCCTTCAGCTGCTGTACTACGCCGGGAAAAGTTGTTTGCGATCGTATCATCGCGCGAGTACCACCACATGACCACCGGAACGAGCGACGTAGCGACGGAAGCTAAAGTGTAAAACTCTCAGGAAGAAAAATCTATGCTCTAGAGAAACACTTTTTGTATTTCTTCCTTCATTATTTCTCTTATAATAAGTACAATCTTGTAATAAGTAAACGAATTAAACTGACTAATCTGCTCCAGCTTCCTCTACACCGAGAAGAAATACTTGAAAATTTGCTATAAAGTTTATTTCTGTGAGTAAATTTTTACAGATAAATGTTCACGCATTTTTTCTCAGTGTAGGTGAAGAATCACGTAAACAGAAGAAGACTCGCTTCTTCTCGACTTCTTGTCCATTGCCTATATCGCGGTGTGGTGCTGAGAAAATTCTGGCGCGAACATTAAGCCTCGTCTGAGAATAAGTTAACCGTTATCGTGACGCGAGATATTCTCCTGAATGCATATTTTGAACGGACAAGCGAGCAGACCGTCCGTCCGTCCGTCTAGTTTCACGCTGTCGGGAAAATCCGCGAGTTCATGATTACATTATCACATCCTTGTCTCGAATACTCCGTGGAACAATGAACGCCATTCCGCGGTTTGGAGAACCGGAAGAATATGTTTATATCGCGCAACCGATTGTCCGTCTGACTTCGCGCCATTGTGGTTCCCCGACAATGTGCGCCGTAATCGCATCATAATCGATACCTCGCAACTAGAACAATCGGTATCAATGTACGCTATGCGGAACTGGGACGCATAGACGATGGATGGCTGGATGAAATACGGGCGCCATTTGTAGAACCGAATTATTCTAAGGAGTCGATTTCCATATCGTTATGTACAGTTAGTTTCACTCCGTCACGACGAACTAATTCGTGGATTGTATTATGTTCCGATGTCCTGAAACTAGAACAACTTTACTCTCTCTCTTTTTCTTTCTCGTTCTCCGTGAAAGGTCTTTCGATTTTACGATACAAAGAAGAAATATCATGAGTTAGTTTTCACGTTTCTGTTTTATTCCGATTTATTTCTTGATGGGATGTTTCATGATAAAGCTTGATCAAACTTATATTCGTCAACAGTAATCAATAGTAATGCAATGCGCAAGAGTCTAACAAATCATTCATACAACGGTGCGTATTAAATTAGGATCAGTAATTATTACGAGATTAGTGATTACTCGATTTAGAAAATCATGGTAAACATTAAATCATGGTAAACAATAAGCCTGTGAAACTTAACACAGATTGATTGTTGCGAATAAATTTATTGTCTTATCAAGAAAATATTTAATATTATTTTTAATATACCAAACGTTTTATTAATTCCAATTTTTTGAACTTTATGTTATATTAATATTATTGTAATAAAATCCCATGTTTCCTTTTTGAATCCTCAATTTTATATAGCGTTATAGGTCTGCTAATGGTCCTCAGGATGAAATTAAGTTCGGGTAAACACGATAATACCTTGCACACTCGATTAATTAACGAGCATTTCGATCCCCGGTTCGAGCTCTCTTCAATATTGACGATATACAGAAGCGATCGAAACTTTCACGTATCAGTAGTAATGAACTTGTTTCCTTTCGCAAATATTCAAAGCGAATAATTGGTTATGGTTATGCAAGAATGATCCAACTCACGAAATCATAATTTTTAAGTTTTCATTTTTTTTACCAATGGGTAGTTCATACGTTTTTCCGCATGAAACAGATTCAAGCCTTATGAACGCCTGAAATCAAGTAGAAAATAGTTTTTGTTTTCTACTAGATGCACCATTTTTTACTAGTTGTATTTTTTTATCCATTCTTTTAAGGGTTAAGTTAATGTTTAAGGGTTAAAGTTTAAGGGTTAATGAATAGCTCCAAAGAGACGAAAATTGACCATGCTTGACTTCTTGAACGATTGCAAAGAACTTAAGCGTTCTTCTGTTAATCTACTTTTTAATACATGTATCAAATGTACCTTTTAAATCATGTATCAAATTTCCATCTTCATTTTGTTCGAAACGTATTCCATATAGGTTGAATAATATCTCTTGCATAACTACGACCAGTTATCCGCTATAAAATGTTCTCATCGAAAGTTACTTGTGTGTGACTCGATCCAATACCGCAATCGAGTCAATTATCGTCGTGAATTCGTGGAAATTTCGATCACTCTTCCATCAACGCGAATTATCGGGCGACTGTATTGCATCGCGCGCACGAATCGTGGGTGATGGCGCGTCAAGGTGGTCATTTTTGACTTCCTTTAAACGTCAGCGAAGTGTCGGTCCCAAGTAGCCCTTGTCCCGGCCCGAGTAACCTCGCTCTTTACGGTGCAGCATTAAATCTGCGAAGGACAGCGTCGAGCTCGCACTCGAGCTCGAAGAGGGCCGCGCGACGGAGGTTGTTGATCACTGTGAGAACCTCTGCAGTGGATGCGGACGCGTCGTGGCGGACGGCTGGGACGGATGGACGGGACCTCGCTCGCTTCACTCACTCGCCGAGTTCGAAGGGTATTATTAGGACCGGGCTCGAACGTAATGACTTAATACTACGAGGCTCTGTTAGTTGCCCTATGCTGGAAACGTCTACCTATGTGTGTCCGTCCGCAACGAATTCGAGTACCTTCGCGGTAACTCCGACAGTCAATAAGTCGGATTGTGTCCAAGGCGGCGCGCCTTTTTCTCCAAAGGAATCAAAACGACAAAGGGGGGCGAAGAAGAAAGGTGCGGAAAAACAGAAAAAAGAAAGAAAAAATGGGAGGAACTGTAAGAATATTAGGAGACAAAAAGAATCACAGAAATAAGAAACGAAAGAATGACATAGAAGAGAAAATCAGATGATCAAGTTAATCAAGTAATAAGAAATCGATAAAGTAAAAGAAAAGGGAGACAATGAAGGTTCTAATGCGAGTGAGACATAACAAATCGAAGCGCATTATCTTTAGATTACGTACAATATTTCGTCTACGTGGCTCGTGCGCGATATTTCGATGGAAAGCGATCTTTAGTACCTATCGTCTGTAAACGAAACTTTTCGCGGCAGATTCTTCGTGAAGCAGAAAAAAGGAAAAGAATCGGCCCGCCCAGGACGGGCTGCTGCCCCCATATATCTCGCGCTCGCGCGGCTGCGAAATACTTAAAGTTCGGCATTAAAGCGAAACGTTAATTTCGCCCACGGAAAACTGGGTTAAACGTTCGTCCTTTTTCCCAGCCGAAACGAGAGCGGTCGGCTGGTTGCGCGCGCGCGCATGCGACTTCAGGGAGTTGCGAGCAGCTATTTTAGCATGAAGACGCTTTAGGTGGCTCTTTCTCTTTCCCTGTCAAGTCGTCTTTCCTCATGTTCGGCGCGCTTGTCCTCCGGGCACCGCTCGTCATCCTGTAAATCTGCTGCTGCCCGTGAGAGAAAGAGAGAGCGGAGAGGCCCTTCATCCTCGACGGCCGAAGGTACCGCGAAGTACCTTTCGGCCCTGTATTTTTTCCGCCGTTCATTCTCCTCTACACACGTTTTTCATCCACGTATTTTTGTTTTCGTCTACACATCTCTCCCTGTTTTCCTTTTCTTTCCTCTCTCTCTCTCTCTCTCTCTTTCTCTTTCTCTCTGCCCTTTGCTCTCTCCTCCTTACGCAGCTTCTCGAGGAATGAAAATGTTGGGAATCAGGAGATAGACGATCCTATTCCTTCGGGGCCTCGCGTGTGGGAATCGATTCTCTCATCCTCCCGCGTACTCCCTTCTGCAATCGCATGCACATGCGTATACGTACAGGGTGTTCCGAAAAATATTCTATAGTCGGTGACAGGCATGCAGTTATCGCTGAGTTTCGAATCTTTTTTGGCTAAGGGATATTTTGCTCATAATTCGAGCAATTATATGATTTTTCCCGAATTTATTCATTGATTTATTTATTTACTGGAACAAGACTCTTTGGCCCACATGTCGCGAGAAGGAGATATGTTGTACAGATTTAAAAAAATCAATTACAAAAAAAAGATATAAATTATAGTTCAAATTTGATCACAATGAAGAGAGGCGATGCGAATCAAGGTACTGTCGTAATTTAAGATCGAAGTCTCGGTTACCGTAATCATCGATGTCATTTATTGAGAATCGTAGAAAGTTACACTGAGAAAAGTATTCTTGAAACTTTATATTCGTAAAATATAAAATTTATTCATAGAAATAAACTTTATTTTAGGGAAATAAAGTAAATTTTATATCTTACAAGTAAATTTTCAAATATTTTTCTTTTTCTCGATATACAGAAGTGTACAGAAGTTAAGTATAATTTTGCCAGGACGGAATCTCGGTTTCTAATCTGTCCATGCCGGTCGACGAAATCGATCTCCAATTTTCAAGACGCCTTGTATGCTCTCGCTCTTATGCTATACGTCGTTCTCGTGTTCGATGCTGAACTCGCCGGATAACGATGGGAAGATTATAAACTCGCGGAATTAGCGAGCGCTACGTGGCGCCTCTTGGTGGCCGTTTCTTATTTGCATCCTTACGCGTCTCTCGCTGCGATCAAAACCCTCCGAGCTGCAATGAGCATCCTGTATTCGGAAAATGCCGGCGAGCTGAAATTATACAGGGTACTCGGCAGTTAAAGTCGGCTCTTCCGACGTGTTTACAGGTGATTTTTCCGCGAGCGAAAATTCCACCGGGGAGCTTAATTACTGACGTATTTAACGCTAGAAATTCAAGAGCTGCAACAAGCTGCGATGACCTCGTACTGAAGTTTCCTCAAGGGAAGATCGATCCTACGCTCGTCAAATATATAACGCGTCGCTGACTATCGAACATTTTGTGCACGCTCGCGTAATAAATCCTCCACCTTGCTGATTTCGGACACATTAAAAATGAAAAGATCCCGCGAATCGGCGCAGATATATATATATATATATATATACACAGTTCACCTGTAATAATTAAGCTAAATAATTTTTATTATTTTTTCCGATATATATAGGATCTCCGATAATTCATGGAGAAGTCTCGATGTGTATAAATGGATTAGGTCAAACTAAAAATTTCTCTAATATTTTTCCGATATATCATTGGTGTATAGTTGTGCGCGATAATGCACTAATCTTTTTTTAATTAATAACTAAACATATACGTGGTCATTTGGAAAATAATGGAGAACTTTTTTGTTCAGTTTGACTTAATGTACAAGAATACAGTAGCAGATGTCGCCATCACAGCTCATCTACTGTACGACGCGTGATCATTTATGAATCTTCTTTGACTAATAATTTAGAATTTTACATGATCGTTCGTACAATGGTAGATCGGTCTGTTTTACTCATAATCCTATCCTTAAATCAGTCAAAAGTGTGCTAATGATGGCACAGCTGAATATTGTAAGATGTTGCTAACGTAGAGTAGATCTGTTCAGTGGGTATTATCTTATGACAAAGTCGCTTCAAGTAGCTTGTGATTCGACTCCGAACTGCGCGCGCATTTTCGTGGCTTGTTTTCCTTGAACCAGTCGAGGAAAGCCGTTATCTTCCTTTGATCCTTTTTCTCGATTTCGCTTTCACTTTTTGTTCCTTCTCGCGCGCGGGACGATTCGAGCTCTCGTACGCGAATAATTGCACTTCGTCCTTTTGCTCTCGCGCTCAATTAACGGTCAGTTAGGCCGGTGTGTTCTTGCGGAGGATCTACTCTCGGCTCTGTGCGCGCGAGGACGAGAGGGCCACGGCAATCGTGTGGGATGCCACTCGCTCGATCTTAATTGCACGCGCATTAATCGACGCACGACAGCGCGTACGCGAGCCGCAGGTGCGCGCATAAATTTCTTTTGGCTAGTCTCGTGGCTTCCTGCGCCGCGTTTCCGCTTGTTGCGCCGGAAAGGGTCCCGCATTTGTCGAATGTTGCGATTGCATTGCACGCACCGGTTATACGTGCCGGTTCGGCCGGAATAAATGGATATTATCGGTATTGGCAAAGTACACGTATTGTTGAGCGCCTCGAAAATTCGAACGAATGATTGAGCGATCGTATAATTTGATTTGCCGTCAGTCGACCAATATTCATTAAATTTTCTTTAATTCTTTAATTGAATTTTCTTTAATTCCTTTTTATAAGAAATGTATTTCGTCCTAATTGGGAAGGACGGGGGGAGGATTGAAATTAAACGCGGTTTTGGAACACGTGGACCATCGTGAACGGGATTCGCCCAAAATTTCACGTCGCGACTGAATATTCCGTATGGCAATTCAATACTGTATTCACGTTCACACATTTTCGCTCAAGTGGCCGAGCAAATTGTAGTCCTTGAAGCTGAATCCGTCAAATTTGACGTTGCGACTGTATGATCGCTATTGAAATTTGACGCTATATAATTATATTCACTTTTGCTCAAATAATCAGACAAATTGTGCGAGAGTTTACGCACAAGTCAGCTCCGTATTTGTTGTTGTTGTAATTCGCAATTTTTCAGCAATCGATTCGCCCGCGCAATTGTCGTGCCGGAATGACGACTGTATCGTGGAGCTAATTCTAAGCCGGGTCGAAATAGACAGACACGCAGAAGTATATAATTGGGCCAATTAAATCCCGCGCCGTTGATGGCCCGTAAATATGCTGAACTCAGCCGCCCTTTTCACCTTCTTTTACGGCTTTCTTTTCTCGGTACACGTCGGGAATAATTCATCGACACGCGGGGCGTCGGGTAATTACTTTAATCACATCCTGCTCGTTATAACGTTACGATGAAGTTATTGCTCGCGCCACTCAACGAGAGAAAAAAAGGCTCTTTCGCGGCTTGACTTTTGGTCCCGTCGCGGCACGCGACCAACGTTCACTATAAAAAAAAAGAAAATAACACGATCAATATTTTCCTCATATGACGTGGAAAATAAAGGCAGGCAGGGAAGAAAAGAAGGCTAATCGTTTAATATCTCGCGGTTGGTTTTCCAACGCGGTTCTTTAAGAACATAGCTGGGATTCTGCGCGCGGAACATTTTGGGGCTCTGAACAATTTACCTAAATTTATGCAGGACAAAAGCCGCTTAGCGCGGGAAAGTTAGGAGAGCATTCCAACGTTGAATCGGTTCCCCGGTGTAAATCAACATTTTTAACTCGATATAACTTGGAAGTTTGCTTAATCGAATGAGAGAATGTAATTTTCGCGGTGGCGCAGCGGCGGGCGGAATTAGCGATGAACGAGGTTAACGCTTGTATTAATTTAGGGGCAACATCTGGCTTGGGAAGTTCGCTACTCACGTTAAGCAGTCGATTCAAGCACACAGTCGCGTTGTCACGCGCGCCGAATATATTCACACGGATCACTAGCGAAAGGTCAAGGCGCCGAATTAACATACACATCAAACTGTATCTCCGATCTCCGTGAATTTGACGCTAAATGTAGCCGTGCTAGATCGTCGAGCTGAAATAAGATCTCGCGCGCGATCGCACAACTTCGTACACAGCGAATACAGCACAAAATCGGACGGTGACATTTCAAACAGCGGATCGGCGCGGCCCGCCGATATCTTCTTGAATAATAAAGTATAATAATCTCGCGAATTCGGCGTCTCTCGCGATTCTACATTTTAAGAATTCGAAATCTAAGTGATATATTATTGTGCTTAGAGTACTACTGTGGCCGCACGTCCTTGAGCGATAGATGAGGATTTAGTTGGAGATACTTGTAAACACTTTCTCAGTGCTTTCCAAGCAGTCGCTGAATTCGCATGTAGATTACGTGACGTACATAGAGTTTTATTGTTTTCTCTAAGTTGTCGTGTTTTGCACGTTATTTTGAAATCATTGATATTACAAAGAACGTATTTCCAAACGTCAATCATACAGACGTGTAGTTATGGAGCAGACGTATAGTATGGGTTACAATTATGGAATGCAAGAACTGTTCCCTCAACATAAAATTTATAATTCGTGCTTCTATCCAAACGTCTGTCACGTATGTAAGCTGCGAGACAATAACCATTTGATATTATGTAGTCGGTGCGGCATGATTTCGTACTGCAGCGAGACGCATCAGTGGCAACACCTGCCGCAACACAAGGACCTCTGCGCCGCTATCGTAAAAGTGTTCTCACATAATGCTGAGCAGAGAAACGGTGAAGTCGACTTGTGCAGATTTCAGCGTTCCAAGTTCTCAATGATGAACTCAGTCAAGCGGATATTGTCGCGTAATCTTTACCGGTACGAAGAACAAATGTTCATGTTTGAAAAATCATGCCTGATATGCAATCGACGCGATAATCTGTACACCTGCCAATCCTGCTTTGTCTCAAATTATTGCGATAATCACAAGAATGAGTTTTATATGATTCATAACAACTGCAATAAATTAAGGTTATGTCTCGACTTGGACACGTATATCGTAGATAAAGAGTGGCATCTTTGCTTCACAGTACCGGAAGTCCAGAACTTTCCTAATAAAGACATACCTATTGTTAACATGGACGATTTTCTCTTTAAGTATGTAAAACGTGGATTAATCACGCAACATTGTTTTGTTGATCTCTATTCTGATTGGATATCAGGGCCATTAACACTGTATAACGGTTTGAAGGAAACATATTTATTACCAAAACTAACGAATATTATTTACACTATTCACATCATAAATCCGGACTACATAGATAGAGTTAATTTCTTGATGTGGGAGCTTCTGTTGCATATCTCGCCATTTATAAAGGAACTAAGAATTGTAATGTTAATACCGATGATAAGAAGCATGAAAGTTAACTGTGACATTTGTTCGCATTGTCGAAAAGACAAGAAGCTTCTTTTCGAATGTTATCCTATGTTGTATCAAGATTATGTGGGTAGCTCGCAATACAAGAAACCAAACGTGATTGTAGTGTTTCAAGAGAACTCTGACTGTTTTAAAGATTGGGTGGGTGTTTTGAATGTAATAAAGAATCAAAACTGTCCATTATTTTTAACTACTAAGTCGTTCTCTAAAGCGGAGGGCGTCGCAAGTAACATAAAACGAATACTGCGTTTATCTGTGTTGCCAGTTCGTATTATCGAAAATAGATTCTGTTCTACGAGACCACATAGAGACGTTCTGCATAGTACGTTTTATCGTAATAAGTATTTAATTTGCTTTGAAACTCTGAATGTCCCGGCACCTCTATTTCCAATGCGTGCTTACTATGTTAAGTGCTGTCTATGATTGTATTATCTCGTTTTGCATTATTATGAACGATACGCGATATAATTTCGAGGAATTTCGATGAATGTTTCTTGTGAAACGTGAAACTTGAATGAAAGCATTTAATATTTAGCAGCAGTTACGTTGTCTTTCATGGGATATATATTTATCATTGTCTCATGCATGTGAGACAACGTTTCATATATATGAGAAACAAATGGTTGCCGCACACCAGTAATATATATAATACTTTTGCAATTTATGGCGCAGCTAAGCAGCCGCTGTTATTTGTTAAGCGAAAAATATATATAAAACGTTCATAGAAATTTCTCTTTTTAATTTTGGAAACTTTAAAACGTGATTGAATTGTTTTACTATGTTTAAAATATGCGCACTATAGTTGAGATATATACAACATGGACTTTAATAAACGTGTGATATGCTTTTCATACGGTATCATACGTTTCGAATACGTCTCGTTTCGTTCGTATCGTTTTGAAAAGCGTACGTCTTGGTTTTGAATTTACTTAATTTTATTTAGTTTCGAGTTTACTTAATTTTATTTTAGTTTCGAATTTATTTGCGGTATTCTACTTCATAACGATTATTTGTAGTTCGCTAAATCTCTTATTAGACTTTAGACTGTCAACAATTTACGAGGATCATAAGAATGCTTGTAAACACTTAGTGTTCTCCGAGCAATCGTCAAATCGATATCTGAATTATGTATACAAAGTTCTGTGGCTTCTTCCAAGACGCCGAGTAAATAAATAATTGTTTAAACTTTGATATCATAAATAATTGTTTAAATTGATATTACAACCAAATAAACGTTTGTAAATATCCATATTAAAGGGATTCGTTCATATGGAATATATATTTTATCCATTTGTAAAATTTCATCAAGCGCACAGATGATAAACTTGCACCCGTTGAGAGATCGCGTATCTCGTGAGTCTTTCAAGTCTCCTTGAAATTTGCTTCTTGAGAATCTCTGTACATCTATTATGAAAATTTAAATATACTTAGTGAAATTTAAATATACTTAGAAAATTTAAATATACTCGCACACCAATACACTCATGCGTATTTTCCTTTCTCTAATATTTCGCGCACTCTATCGCACATAATATTCTCACGCGTAGGTCAGCCTGAAATGAATTAATTTTGCACGTCGGTTGATGGCCCAAGAGGAAGGAGCAGGCGTCTCTCGTGACACGGTTGGTAACTGAGAGGTCAGGTCAGGTGGATCTGAATCGCTCTCTGAGGTTTCGCGCAAGTCAGAAGCGGCATTCGCGAGGCCACGCTCGTTCTTCTGCGCGTCGCGCCGGGACGACCGGTTTTTGTGCAATTAGCATAATTATCGAGCCACTTCGAATCGACAGAGCGTGGAGAAGCGTCGACGGCGGTGCGGAGAACTGTATAAAATCGGCGGGGGAAGGGGCCCGGCTAATGCGCGAGCCGCGGATCACAGCTGCAGCCGTGATAAGATCTGCAGTTGCAGCGGCGTGGACGACCGGCCGAAGTCGTCAAAAGTCCAAACGAGCCTCTCGTTTATCCATCAGGCCATCTTGCCTCCGGCCCGACACTCCACGGACCGGCACACTAATCGCGCAGAGTCTCTACGACCCGCCATTTCACCGGGGATTACTGCCATTCCCCGTGGCCGAGAGGAAGATGCGCCTGGATAGGCATCGTTCGTTCCGTGGTTGCCCGGACTTTCATTTTAACACTCTTCCTTAGGAGCGCGGCGAACGATTAAAATCTGACGATTTCTCCTCCGACGATCTCTCGTCGAACGCGCGAAGAAGTATGAATCATTGCTCGCATATACGTCCAAGGTTGCGGGTCTTTTCTTTTTTATATACTCAGAGAGAAAAGATCTAAAAAATAAAGAAATATTTATTAGGTAGATAGCACTGGTGGATAGTGATATATTTATTTAGATCAAAATTCTTTTATTTGAGTAGAGTAAACAATTGCTCTCGTGAAAAACTAAGGTTTTAAGAAAATGTGACATTTCTTTATTTGGAGAATAATTTATACTAACTAAAATCATTTATCGTTGTCCGTGTTATCACAAAAACACTAGGAGATGAAATCAGAAAGAGAAGGTGTCGAGGTTTATCATGGTAGCCTATATTTTTACGTAAGAGAATAACTATGTAAAATTTGATTCAGATTGACTAGAGTTTAGAAATGTATAGAGAATATACAGACATATTCTATTATATATATATATATTTTATTTCTTAGATATTTCTTTTCTCACAAGTAAATCTATCCACAAGTTACACTCCGATTTCTTTTTAATTTGGCACAAATATAGAAGTATAAAAAGTATTTAAGATCAATTTTTTTCATTTTAGTTCATTTTTCTTGGGCAATTTATAGCTTTTTAATGTTCTCACTCCTATCATCAACTACAACAAAAATGCATAAGAAATAAAATTGAATATAAAATATAGGCGTTTTTGGTTTGCTGATTATAAATATAAAATGAAATATATAAAATTATTTGTATAAATAATAAAATATTTAAACAAAACATGTAAAAAGTTGAAAAAAATTATTTATACAAATAATTTCTCGGTTTGGCCGAGGTTTGAACCATTTTTGACTAATTTAGCACAGATTTGAATTATTTCGGTTGGAATCTCGGCTAAAGAAATTCAAAATGATTCGTGTCTCAGCTATGCCAATTTTGTTAAAAGTTTAATTAAAATTGCAGGATTTCTTGGTTTGGTCAATATTTGAATCATTTTTTATTAATTTAGCACAGATTTAAAATATTTTGGTTGAAATCTCGACTAAAGAAATTTAGAATGGTTTGTGTCTCAACTATGCCAATTTTGTTAAAATTTTAATTAAAATTGCCGGATTTTGGTTTGGCCGAGATTCGAATTATTTTTGACTAATTTAGCACATATTTAAAATATATCGGTTGGAATCTCGGCTAAAGAAATTTAGAATGATTCGTGTCTCAGCTATGCCGATTTGTTAAAATTTTAATTAAAATTGTAGGATTTTTCGGTTTGGTCAATATTGAAATTAAAATTAAAATTGCCAAATTTCGGTTTGGCCAAGATTCGAACCATGTTTTACTAATTTAGCACAAATTTAAAATATTTCGGTTGGAATTTTGGCTAAAGAAATTTAGAATGGTTCGTGTCTCAGTTATGCCGCTTTTGTTTAAATTATTTAACTATATCTTGTATTCAATTTTATTTCTTATGCATTTTTGTTATACTTGTTAATGGTAAGAGTGAGAACATTAAAAAGTTATAAACTACCCGTGAAACTCAAAGTGGGCCAAAATGTGAAAATATGATCTAAGTATTTTTGTACTTGTATATTTGTGCCAAATTAGAAAGAAATCGTAGTGTATTTTTTGAATAGGTTTACTTGTCAGTGTATTAAACATACAATGTTATAATTAAAGAAGAAATCGCTTTCGCAACTCGTTACGTACCACAAAATGTAGAACTATTGCGAAAATAACGATGCATTGTAAATGCAATCGTTCTATGCTTTTCTCGCAGGAATTTCAAATGCATCCGGTATCATTGAGAAATCTGACGATAATCCTTCGTCGACGTAATACACGGTGATAAATAGCATGATAATTAAATCCCGTTCTAATTGAAAAATGATGGTCGCGGTAATGAGCAATTTCTGCCGGAATTGTAATATTAAACGATCGTCGCGGTCGCTTAATATTACAAAAAGTATCGCGAGTAAAGAGCTCTATCGAGATTAAAATTAATTATTAAATTACAACTCTTGGATATGAATAATTTACTTGGTCTGGGGAGGGGAGAAGATGTAAGTACACATGAAAAGGTATCCTCGAATACATCCGTGATGTACAAAATTTATTCGCGCGGTATGATCATGCAACGATATAGCCGATATAAATTTCTCATGTCTCTATAATATCAGCGAATTCATTTAGATTAAAGAGAGCTTATAATAATGGGTGCTTCCTAATTGACGGATATAAAATATGCACGTTAAATCGTAGATCCATCATGAATTTATAATTAAATTATATTCTCGCGTTTCTTCATTTGCGCTCGAAAGAACAAATATAAATCGCGTTGGGCAGTGATCTAAATAAAAGTGTATAATAGTAGCGTATAACATTGTCGACGCAATTCGATGTTTTATGTTTAAAGAAGTTAACGTTCTTTTGTAATACACTATTTATTAATTTTTTACAATAGACTATTTACTGTGTGACGAAATCATATTGCAAACGTATCTTGCGTTCCAATGAGATTGGCACATTGACTGTCACATTGATTCCCATAGATCGTTATTTCGTAACTTGGCTTAAAATTCGAATAAGCGGAGAGCGCATGCATCTTCCGATGATATACACTTGTTATCCAGTTATATAGTTGTTATCAGCTGTTGACCACAATTTAATTCATTAGGTGCGAATGACTATACTGTACGCGTGAATTAATTAGATGCTGCGAAATCAGCGGCGGTCCCACGACGTTTAACGTGTTAATTCGCGACTTTTAAGCCCGACTCGGGATGGACGCGATATAATTGTTTACGGGAACGAGATACCCGAGCAGAAACGAAATTGCCGAATCATCGGAATCTTAGCCGGGCGAGTTGACCAAACTCCTCGTTTGTCCTACATTCGGGCGTGGATTAGACCGCTCCTGCGTGTTATCGTCGCAAGTTGCAGGGGGGAGCGGCGCGTTTCGCACGGTTGCGACTCTCGCGCTTTGAAGCGGTCGCATCTATTTAGTAATCATGCCGGCATAAGCGCCTCTCATTATGCGACGTTTCGGGCAGTTTCGGGGGTGGCCGAATTCATCCCGTACGTCGCGGCGTGGAACTTAACGAGGCTACCGCTCGTTCGGCACCAACCCGGACAACCCTGAACGAAGCTAAGCCCTTTTATGCGGGCCGTTCTACCTCTTCGTAAGGCCACCCTTACCTTGGCGATATCAATGCGGTTGCGGTGCCGTTGTTACAGAAACTGATTTTAGACTTAACAAGCAAATCGCGGTTAAACGACTAGGTACTCTCTACTGAGAATTAATTAAATCCTTCGTAGAGAGAGATGGAGAGAGAAAGGGAGAGAGCGCACAGTTTTATATTAATACTAACTCGAATATTTCGATCGACTTGAATTTTTTAGGCTTAGAGAAAAATATTGTTCTGCTGTTAAGAAAAGTGATTACTCAGTTTCCTCAGTTTACTTTCCGTCAAGTGATTATCTGTCATGGTTATTCTTCAACAAAAGATTTTCTTGATAGTCTTAAAATGCAATCATTACGAATTTGAGAAAAGCTCATTATCATATGCCCAAAAGAAAAATTTATTCACCTTACAAGTTCTTTCTCAAATTCTGATTTGGATATTTTCATATATGTATAGTCTTATTATTGAGGTTTTCTATGGTTTT